TGCCAGTACTCAGTGTTGACCCTACACGTTACCTCCCCTACTGCAGCAGTAGCTTCTCCAGCTCTCAGAGGGATGGTTGCACCTGTCCCAGTGGCCGTCATTTGTCAAGCAGCCCTCCCTCCTCTCTGCAGCAGCAAGTGGGCTTGCTCAGGTTTCCCCGTAACCTTTGCTGAAGTCTGTCATAGCTCCCAGGAGTCTATTTATACACTCGGCTCTGCCTGCAGCCACACAAGTGTCCACAGCTGGTGTAACACTGATTTCTCATCAGTCAGTCAGCTGATTATTTTACCCAGCCCTTTAGAAATTAACCAAGTGGACTGTGAAAAGGGTTTGCTCTGGTGCTTAGGCCTAGTCTGCGTACAAAGGGCACTGCTGTGTAGAGACACCCTTGGGTATTTAGCCCTGAGAAGCTGGGCAAAGTGCCACGGTATCATGGCTGTACTTTTTATGGTCCTTAAGGCAGCTCATTCTGGTCTAGTTCAGGTATCTCTGTCAGTCATTTCCTTGTGCCCTGTAGACTCTACCCAAAGAATTGCAGTACTTGAGCTAAACCAGCTGGACTTTATACATAGGAAACCCCCACTGAAGTGCCCATCTAGAATTGCTCTCAGTTAAGCCCAGTTGCTGAAGTGTGCGTTCTGTTTTACCCATTGTTTCTGAAAGGTTTTGGTGCCATTGTACGCCATCTGTGGCCAGGCTATGACTCAGCCATGTATCTTTTCTTCTTAAACGTAGAATGAAGAGAGGGGAGCTCTTCGATTACCTCACAGAGAAAGTCACCTTAAGTGAGAAGGAAACTAGGTAAGTGGAGAATGAATCGAACAGCTTAGTGATTGTTCTTGCTTCTGTCTGGTCAAAGAGGCAGCTTTTACCTCCTTGGTAGCAAACTCCCCCTGAAAAGAGATGGCTCCGTCAGTAGCAGTTTCTCACAAATCAGCTTTCACCTTCCAGTTGCCTAAAAATGCTGCTCTCCATTGGCAGCTCAGTAGGGAGAGCAAGTGATGCAATTTATGGCACCTTTTGCTCTATGCTTACCTTCAGTGAAACACAAGAATAGCTGGCATCTATTCAGCTGGTGTTATAGGGCAAAGTTTGATACTTAGAAACTCTGTCAGCCTCTCCATGGACTGCCATCTTGATGAGATGGAGAGGCTTGCATGTACCAAGAACCCTAAGAGCAACACCATCGGGAGTCTGGTACTCCTGGTAGGGTCACCTATGGTGGTAAGGTCAAAGGTCACTCTTCTCTATGGTTGTAAAGCTTGGGTGACCTACAAGGACCACCTGAAAAGCCTGGAATGCCATCACCACCTCTACCTCGAGAAGATCCTTGGCATAAAGTGTGAGGATTGTTGCACAAATGTCAGTGTCCTCATCAATGCTGACACCGCTAGTATGGAACCATTGACTGTTCAGCATCAGTTGCAGTGGACAAGACGTCGTGTGCACATGTCTGATGTATGCTTACCAAAACAACTGCTCTACTCCCAACTCAGCCGAGGACAAAGCACATGAGGGCCAGAGGAAATGCTTCAAGGACACCCTGAAGGCAAACATTAAGAAGCGTGGCATTGACACCACAAATT